TCTCTCCTCACGCAATCAGCGTAGATTCATCGCCTCCTAAAGTATGCGTGTCTTGTGCACTGCATGAATATATAAATAGGAGGAGACCTCGTGCTCAGTATTTTCCATGAACTTGTTGGACCGTCTCTCGGCTGATTTCTATGACGTCAACTGTTCAACCACAACTGGGCAGCGTTCAAACTTCGCAACGACGTGCGTCGACGCGCCGTAACGCGCGTCGACTCGCTGCAATTACGACAGCGCTCCAATCCTATAGACGCAAGCGCGCAGCTGCAGACCGCAGAAGACGGCAATCGATCGGCACCGGCCGCTTGTGTTTTGGGAGAGAATGGAGGAATAGGAGGGTACGTTTAATCAAGCGGTCTAGTATCGAACGGGACTGGCCGCTAGTGCTCTGGAATAGTGTAGAGGAATAGGAAGGCACCTAGATTATGTGCAGGCAGCGCCTACTCGCGAAGCTTGAACGTTGCCTTATCCGGATGCCTCTTCATTTCCACGGTGGTACTCCCTCCAATTTCCACATCAATGTCATCGCTTTCAGCAGCTAAACCATCCGAATATTGTACGATTTTTTGGATTCTGCATGGAACCTACAGACAGCAATGTTTTGATGATATTTGAACTGATGGACAAGGGTGCACTGGATTCCTTTTGTAGGGTGAGGGCATTCGTTGGTAACCTTGATAATTTTCATCATATTATATCATAGTTAGTTGATACTCCATTCCAACCCTGATCGCACGGGTCAGATTGGAATAAAAAATTCAGTACGGTAGAAAGTAGTAGGGACCTAAGTCAAGTTTATGGCTGTGCCTTCCTCATGGATGTCTTTTGAAAGGAGGCGTGCTCCAATGAGGAAGAAACAATGGCAGGCTTAGCTTCGCTCATTCGCTCAACGTTCCGCATGTACGTTTGAAGGCACATCCTGTTATTAGATTAGATAAGATAACCTAGGTAGTGGCCTCATGAGAATTAGCCGCAACGAGGCGGCGACGTGTTTTGGAGAACTCACCCAAAATCTGCGAAACTCGTCCAGATGCGTTCGATCGAACAGGGTCTTATTCTATGTTCTTGCGGCCTTTTTGATTAATGCTTTAGTTGCCGCATGTTCTAACGATTCTGAGCCCTACAACCTGCCAAAGTCGATCGCGGGCGCTCTCTTTAAGATGGTGGACCGGGCCATCTGCTCACAAAGAAGAGATTCTGCTCATCGCATACTCGTAGAATGTGACTTTAGGCAATATTCTCTTCTTTATTTCTATCAACGAGCTGAATTGATGCTGGATATTTTCTTGGTACTATGTAGAGCTTTTCTCAGGAGACGGAGAGAGAATAGTAGTTTCTCGCGCCTTCGCATGCGGCGTATCATGCAGCAGCGCCAAGTTCTCGGATGTGCACCAGTTTGTCTATTGGAGGTGCGAAACTCATATGAATTCATGCGGAGTCAAAGTTCCGTTGAGAACAGAAGAGTTTTTCTCATCTTTCTAGCGGTCGTGCAACCGGTGGACCAGAGCAGCCACTCCACGTCCCATTTTAACTTCGGCCTATGGTCTTTTCTGACACTACCGATTAGTTGCCTCTACTTTTTTA